TTCCTCTTAAAGGTATTTTTTGAGACTTAGATTAATTTTATCTTTATTATCCCTGTGAAGTAGGTAGGGCAAATATGAGGGGAGGTGGGTGCTGAACTTTTTAGGCCAAAGACTGACGTTTATATGAAGTTGTTGCTAACTGTAGACCCCTGGGCAGGTCAGTTAATGGCTTGGAGGTTCCCTTTCCTCATCTGTACCATGAGAACATGTGCTGCCTACCTCACAGGGTTGTTGTGAGGTCAAATGAGATGATGTACATGAAAGATTTGTAAACGGTAAAGTACCACTTGTTTTGGTAGTCCTCTTCTTTCTTTTTGGGTAGGGGACAGTCTTATGTACCCCCAGGCTGGCCTTGAAGTTCTGATCTTCTTGCCTCCAACTTGTGAATGCTGGGATTACAGGCATTCACCACTACATCTGGCCCGTTCTCCTCTCTCTGGGGAGACTCACAATCAGATGTGTGTTGATCACTTGCTTTCCTCACTCACAGACACTGAAGTCCTTCTATTTCATGCCTTCTATCTGTATTGTTAGGGAGCCTGTATTTAAATTTTGATCACAGCACACATCCAATCAAAGCTGGTTTAACCAGCTGAGGCACTGGCACCTGCTGGAAACTCTGACCAAGCCATTCACAAGGGCATTGTAATCAGTCATGTTGGCAGGAGTGTGGCAATGGTCTGCATTTCTTCCAGTCACAAGTTTATTTCTGGAGGGGGTCCAGCTACTAGTGGAAGAACATTCAGCTGGACCGATTCTCTGTTTACCGATTTGAGTGCCTTTAGATGGATAGCACTGGGCTAAGTGCTGGTGTGGTAAAGGTTCATTTATTAGGAGACACATATGTAAACAACTACAAGGTGGGTTAGGATGTGCTAAGAATCGTAGGAATAGCAAAAGAGGTCCTCAGGAGGATTTGGAAGGGAGAGGACTTAGCTTCTTTAGGCAGTTTGTATGGCAGCCATTTTGTTGATACAGACAACTACATTTTGTTTTCTGGCAGTCTCTTTTTTCTCCCCACCTCTCATGGTACTATTGTTATTTTTATTCTAAAACAGGCTAACTATATGTAGGTGGAACTGGCCTGGAACTTACTATGTAGCAGATGGTAGCTTCAAACTCAAGATCCTCCTGCCTCTGCTTCCCAAGTGCTGGGATTACAGGTGTGCACCACCATGCCTGGTCTAATGTTATGTCAGTTGGTTTGTGACAGTCTCTTGAACCATCCTTTTGCATGTTAGTTGCAGCTTGTGGGCTTGATTACCACTTGTAGGTGGAACTGACCTGGGCCAACCACTGATATTTAGGAATTCAAAGTTTGGAGCTGGAGTAATGGCTCTGTTAAGAGCACTGGCTGCTCTTTCAGAGGTCTTGAGTTCAATTCCTAGCAACCACATGGTGGCTCACAACCATCTATAGTGGGATCCAGTGCCCTCTTCTGGTGTGCAGATGTACTCACAGAGTACTCAGATTTAAAAATCAAAATAACCATAAATAAATAAGTCCTAAAAAAGAAAAACTGATTCCAAGGTCACCGTGCATGGTGAGCACCTGACATGGGTGCTGGGAACTAAACTGGGATCTTCTCCAGAAGCAGTCCTGAGCCGCTTCCATCATTTCCGTCAAGGACTTAAATGAAGACTGTATACAAGATGATGCTAAATGTAAGTGGAAATGGCAGCTGCTTTATCTATAACATAAAGATTAGGGGCTACAGACATGGTACAGTGGGTAGAGGTGCTTGGGCACGGGCCTGAAGAACTCAGTTCATTCCCTGGATCCTATAAAGTAGCAGAAAAATCAACTCCCAAGAGTGTTCTTCCACGTGTGCACAGCTGCGTGCACACAATGCATATAAACATTTTGAACAGACATGATGGTCCATACCTATAATCCTAGCACTTGGAGGCAAGTGGGTCAGGAATGTGAAAGTTATCTCTGACTACATAGTCAGTTAGAGGCTAGCCTTAGCTACATAAGATCCTGTCTCAACTCCACCCCCCAAAAGGGGTGTGTGTGTGTGTGTGTGTGTGTGTGTGTGTGTGTGTGTGTGTATACTTTCACATCTTACCTACCCTACAAGGTTATTGTTAGGATCAGATTAAACACGGTGGGTATAAGTGCTTTGCAAGCTGTAAAGGGCTACCTACAGATCAGTTGTAGTAATGCCACATCTGTAAATACCACAGAATTGGAAAGACTGGCTGGTAGACTACTTTGGAACAGATTTTAATCTGATAATCTTTGAGCACAAACAAAAAAGTTAAAGACACCAAGTCCTATAGTGATTTAAAAAATGTAGTCACACAAGTAGGGTTTCTGACAAAATACTAGTTCTAGTGATCACTCGTGGACCATTTAAACTTCTATCTGGGAATAGAAAGGTCCAGGTGCTAAATGAGCCTGAAAGCCCTGCTGGTTACTCTGCAGGTACCAGGTATCTGAGGGATGCTGACAAGCATGAATGCATTTTAAGGAAGAATGATCAATAGGGAGAAGGGATGTGAAAGCATGGCTGAGTTGTTCAGTATGGTTGCCACCAGTTACACGGGGCAGTTAACTCAAAACAAAAACTCAGTTCCTCAATCCCTGCAGCCTCGTTTCTAGCATTATATGGTCAGCAGGTGCTATCCTGAACAGTACCGACATAATGTTTCTACCCTTGATGTCCTGCTGAACAGTACTGTAGAAGCAGTGACTGAAGGAACGAGGAGAGCAGGGAGCAGAGGAGACGGTGTGTAATGAGGACTGCTTGAATAGTAAAGGGCAGTTGTAAAGAAGGCTTTGAGGGGTGGGACTGTTGGACTGAAACTTGTTTGATACTGACTGATACTATAGCGGGAATAACCGTGAACAACTTTCTGGTCCTCTTGCTTCCTTGCTGCTGTGATCACAGGCAGGTGCTACCAGGTCTGGGGTATGCAGTGCTGGGGATGGAACCTAGGGTTTCAGAAAAGCCAAGCAAGCATTCTACCAACGGAACCACATCCCCAACCCTTGGAATAAGAAATTTCATAAAAATGTATTTTTCTTTTATGTGTCTAAGTGTTTTGCCTGCTTGTGTGTATGTGTATCATGTGTATGCCTGGTATCCTTGGAGTGCAGAAGAGGGCATTGGATTTCAACACTGGAGCTATGAAGGGTTGGAAGCCATCACAGGGCTGCTGGGACTGAATGTAGGTCCTCTGCAGGAGCACCAAGTGCTTTTAACCACTGAGCCATCTCTCCAGCCCAGAGTAAAATTTTGAGCAGAACAGAGCTTTGGAGATGGCTCAGTGGGTAAAGCACTTGTCACATAAATGTGAGGACTTGAGTCTGAATCCCCAGAACTCAGGTAAAAGTGAGCAGGTTTGTGTCTGTAATCCCAGTGCTCCTGTTGTGAGATGAGAGGTGGACAGGAGTCAGCCCAGAAACTGGCAGGCTAGCTAGCTTTGCATACACAGTGCTAAACAACAAAGAAGTAACTTTGTCCCCAAACTCAAGGTGAAAGATAAGATATCTGAGGTTGTCCTCTGATCTCTATCTACTCCTATACTCCACCTAAAACTGTTAAAACTTTTACCACAGCTACCCTTAAATTTGATTTCCTCTGGCAAACAGTTGGTTCTCTGAATCCATGGATTCAGCCAACTGGATTGGAAATTTTGGGGAGAAAATTGTACTGAGCACATGTAGACTTTATTCTTGCCTTACTCTAAGCAATACAGTGTAACAACTTTACATTCTCCCCCATGACTTCTTAAAAAAAGAGTTTCTAGCTCAGGCTGGCAAGGAACTTGATGTGTAGATAGAGCAAGCTGACTTCAAACTTATTGGGGGGTCTTGCACCTGTCTCTAAAGTACTAGGATTTACAGGTGTGTGCTATCGCCCATGCCTGGCTAAGACATCATGCCTTTGTACTGGGCATTATAATTAATGCAGAGCTGATACAAAGTACGTGAGTTTTGTGTATAGGTTCACATTGCAAGGAACTTGACCATCTTCCAATCTGTTCATGGGATTAAGGGTGGCCTGTAGGCAGTCTCTCATAGTGAGGGATATGTACATTTAAGTGCATTCTGCCTATTAGATACTATGGAGTTGGAACTTTTTAGGTGAGTTGTGATGAAATCTGAAGATATGTCCTGCTTTTAACTTCTAAGATCAGGTATAACCAATGTGTCAGACCTACACAAGCTTACTTTTTTTCTCCACTTTTTTTCTCCACAGTCAAGTCAGTCACTGAGTAGGGGATAGGGCCGTGGTGGTACAATTAGCCTAGCATAGGCAGAAGACCGCCCTGCAAACAACACAGTCATCACGTAAAACCAAGAACCCCTACCCCATCTCCTTTTAAGTGTACAGAGCCGTACTTTGTCAAATTTCCACTTCTGGAGTCCGAGACGTGAAAATTCTCATATGGCTTTCTGAAGCCTACTTTGGCAGCAAGCATTTGCCTTCATTATTCCTAATTCCTCTGGTCTCGAATCACAAGGAAGTCTAAGCTGATGCAGTACTCAGTTGCTGGATGGGATAGTGGAGGAGCACTTTGACTAGGTGGGAACAAAAACAGCAGGATCCTATCAGCGATCTGCTTGCAGAAAGACACAGTGTTTTAGCACGCTTGTATTTGTTTTCCTTATCGGCTCCAGCTACCAGGTAGGGCAAGTTATCACTGGGACTCCTAACTGTCTCTGCCAGGCTCCTACTTGATACACTTTCTCGCACATCCCAACCGCATCATTGGTCAGGACCGGCTCATACACGACCTCCTGTGGACTTCCTCACCCAATTCTGGAGCGGTTCATCTGTGCTCATGGCCTCACATAAAATCTGTACTGTGCTTACACAGATGTCCAATCCAATCTCTGTTCAAGCAACTCGAGAGCAGGCAGGGGCAACTCGGTTTCAGTTTCGAGAGCCTTCCTGGTCGTACCCAGGACCTGGCAGGCATCGTATAAATAAATACTGGCTGGGCAGCTGCAACCAGAGGAGGGGACGGGGGGCAACGAATTCTTACCCAGACGCCCAGAAGCATCTTCCCTGCGGTGCTCTCGGAGCCCGGAAGGAGGCGGTGAGCGGTGAGCAGCGCAGCGCGCAGGGCAGGCCGAGGTGCGTGAGGGATGCGCCCAGGGCGAAGGCCCGGAGCCCGACAAGAGGCGCGGCCCGGCCGGATCTCCTCGTGACTCCTCCTCCCCCCCCACCACCATCAGCCGCTGCTAGTCAGGTGATTCCGGGCACGTGACGCACACCACCTACCCTGCTGCTCCGAAGTGGCAGCCCACCCAGCCAATGAGGAGCCAGTGCTCGGCGGCAGTCCAATCAGAGCCGGGTCTGGGGGCGGGCCCTGCGGCGGCGGCGGCTGCCGGGGGCGGCGGCAACAGCGGCGGCAGGGGGGAGGCGGCGGCCTGGCCTGGCCTGGCCTGTCAGGGCGCGGGCGGCGGCGGTCCAGCACCATGTCCCTGCAGTATGGGGCGGAGGAGACGCCCCTGGCCGGCAGTTACGGAGCAGCCGACTCGTTCCCCAAGGACTTCGGCTACGGTGTGGAGGAGGAGGAAGAGGAGGCAGCGGCGGGCGGCGGTGGTGGCGCGGGGGCCGGCGGTGGCTGCGGCCCGGGCGGCGCTGACAGCTCCAAACCAAGGATCCTACTCATGGGACTGCGGCGCAGCGGCAAGTCCTCCATCCAGAAGGTGAGCGTCCCGCGCCGGGCCCCCCGCCCTCGGTCTCGCTCGGCCCGCGGCGCCCAGGTGGCGGCCTCCCGGGAGGCCCGAGAGGGTGGCGGCCTGGCCCCGCGTCCCGGCGCACCCTCCACGCCTGCGAGCGCAGAGCTTAGGCGCGACCCGTCGCCCAGGGTCCCCGACCTGGCTCTCCACGTCCGACTCTGCCCGCCGAGGGCCGAGCGGGCCGAGGAGGCGACGCTGGCTGGAGGGTGGAGGCAGGTGCCGGGCACCGCCCTAGATCTCCGCCCTCTGGGTCGCAGCCCCCGTGGCGTTGAGGAAACCGACTTGTCCTCTCCGGTTCTCACGTGGAGAACTTGGTGAGCGTGCTCTCTTGCAGCAGCATCTCACTTAGGTGGCCCGAGTTTTCAAGGATCCCCTCCCAAGCTTCGGGCCGCAGCAGCTCTAGAAAGAGTTGTGGCAGAGACACCGGGCATCAAGTTTGTTGTTAGTCTGTTGAAGACTTCTGTAACGTTTATTCTGGGGAGGGTCCCATTACTGCACCTACTTTATTTAGTTCTCGTCGCCCGGTGATTGCAGTTACAGGTGACAGACAGTCCCCTGAAAACTGGTCACAAAAATCTTTGGCAATAAGTGTTTTGCAGGCAGACGGGCATCAAGGTATTTGTTTTCACCTTGGGTCTGCCAAGATCGTATAGGCTTTTTGTTTTTAGTGAACAGAAAAATAGAGGCAGGGTTGACTTATTTCTTCATCAACCATTTCCCATTACAAACAGCGAACTTCTGATAAAACTGGTGTCACCGACACCCCGGCTTTCCCTGTTTTCCACTCTGACACAAAGGTTTATGCACATCTCTGGTACTTTGTAGATGGCGATGTTTTTAAAAAGTGGCCACCCCCTCCCGCTGCCTTTGCTGGACTGCTGTTTTATTTGCCTTACTTCTCTTGCCTGTGTCAAAAGTTGGGCTTTTGGAGGCAAGTCTGCTGTATGTTGGGATTGTATTGGTCAAGCCTTAAAGCTACATCTCTAGCCCTCTGTTTGTTTGTTTCTGTCTGTCTGTCTGTCTGTCTTTTCACTTTCTTTCTCATGCATCTCAGGCTGGCCTTGATTGAATTCTGATCCTGAGTCTACTTCCCAAGTGCCGAGATTACAGGTGTGAGCCGCCATGCTAGGTTTTACTTGATGCCAGGGCTTTAAGCCTGGTGGACAAGAAGCGCTCTCCCCACACTGAACTGCACCTCTGATTCCCTGCTGTGATGCTTCCCAACTCATTGTCTTTACCGTTTCTTTTGGAGCTGCCTCGTCCCTCCTCCCACAGGCCTCCTGACTTCTCACTCCAGACAATTTTACTTTCTGTTTAGATTGTAAATTCAGTGAGGGCAGGATCCAGTCTGTTTTCTTTCTTGTTCCTTAGAGCCCGAGATAGGTGTTTATGTTCTTTTTGAATGAGCACAAAGTCTTAAACTTTATCTGGAATAGCTCCATGATCTTAAAGCAGGTTTTGACAAGTTTAAATCTTTGACAAAACACAATAGAGCCTGGCTGGATGACATTATAATTTTAGTATGGAGGAGGCAAAGGCAAGAGGATTGGGTTTTGAGTCTGGGCTACATAGCTAAGACCCCTTTTCAAAACAAAACCCCTTCCCCCAAAATAAAAAATTACAAACACTGAGAATGAAAAGACAAACATGTGGAAACAGCAGAAGCAAGAGATGCTGCTACTACTAGTGTTGATGCCGTTAAAATAGTGCAAGAAAAGCCCAGTGTGCATGAGGGAAAGTTAACGTGGCGTCTTTGTCAGAAGTAAGATAGTGCCAGTGATTTGCCATCCAGTTATTACCTTATTTATTTATTTATTTGTTTATTTGGTATCGAGGTCAAAATTTTACTGCCATAGGATTTTTAACATAAATTCTGTAGTTTAGTAGTTGTGAAATTGTTTCTGTTTCTCTTAACAGGTGGTGTTTCATAAGATGTCACCCAATGAGACTCTCTTTTTGGAAAGTACAAACAAGATTTATAAAGACGACATTTCCAATAGCTCCTTTGTGAACTTCCAGATTTGGGATTTTCCTGGACAGATGGACTTCTTTGACCCAACCTTTGACTACGAAATGATCTTCAGGGGCACAGGAGCATTGATATATGTCATTGATGCACAGGTAGTTAGGCACAGTGCTTCTCTTCTCTGGTTGCAAAAAGATGTAGAAACAGAGGAAAATTGTTGGTTTCCCTTGTCTGTCATGTGCTTGAAGCTTCTCTCTTTCCAGTAGATCCCCTGACAGTTTAAGACATGCAGCTGCAGAGGGATTTTTGGGAGCAGACCTGTCATTGTACAATTCCAGACTCTCAGGTGCTTAGGAGATGTCATTTACATTTCTTGAGTCCCAGTTAAGGAGCAGTTACCATTGGCTTCTACTTTTATTGGCTAATAGTAGATACTGCTATACTTTATGAACTATTACAGTGGTTAACTCACCCATTGAAGTATCCCACCAGTGGCCACAATATAAGGAAGAATATGATAAATGAGTCCTTTATACTTTTCCTGATTTGTTTTAAGTTGAATTTAATCTAGCAAGATATGCCGAGGGCCCAGTGTGTGGTGGGCAGATGGATGGGCTGTGCCCCTACCCTTGTGCTTACCTTTTGTAAGCTGAAGCTTACCATTGTAGGGAATGCTTTCTGAGGGATGCCAACTCTGCAGTGGTGCTTTCTCATTCACGATCTGATTTATAGAGTATTGTGTGGATAGTTATTCCCATTTACAGATGCTTGACTAGAGATTTAAGCAACTTGCTCAGAGCCACACACCTGACAAATGGCAGAGCTGGGATTACTTTAACAGTCCTATTAGGAAGAAATGTGCATTTTGCCTTTCCATTCTTTATAGTAAGAGCATTAAAAATTCAGGCATTGACTTGGTATTTGAGTTTCTATCTTAAGAAATTGAAGAGCTGTTTACTGGTTATTTGTCAGCATGTCTGAATATTTATGAGTAATTAGGATAGTGAGTTTTCTGTGGTTGGGGAAAAAGGTGGTTTGAGACTTTCTTAACTTGTTACTTATGTTTTATAAGATTCCTTGTTAAAAAATATTTTGTTCTGACTTTCAGGATGACTACATGGAGGCTTTAACACGACTTCACATTACTGTTTCTAAAGCCTACAAAGTTAACCCAGACATGAATTTTGAGGTTTTTATTCACAAAGTTGATGGTCTGTCTGATGATCACAAAATAGAAACACAGAGGGACATTCATCAAAGGGCCAATGATGACCTTGCAGATGCTGGGCTAGAAAAGCTCCATCTTAGGTAACAACATGCGTGTTTGCTATGAGAGCCCTGTAAATGTATTCCCATCTCTGTCATTATACACACCAGCTTTCTGTGACTGGTGGACCCTTCCCCAATTCTGTAATCTCTTCTTTGTTGAATTCCAAGCTGTTTTGTAAATTACTTTTTCCCTTTTTCATTTTCCTGATGATTGAAGTCACGTGAAGTGTTTCCATTGGCGCTCTTGCAGATTCATCTCAAGGGACTGGAGTCAGGCTGTTTCCTCACGGCATGAGTCTGCTTTGGGACTGCTCCCCTCTCGGTTTCTTCACTTTTTAACCCTGGTTGGCTTTGTGCAAGAAATCTGTCATAATTTTTGTGAAAGTTGAGTTTGGGTCTTGTTAATGTCTCAGTAGGAAGAGCCTTTTAAAGTTGTACACTTTCAAGTGTGGACTGACTCTAGTGTATGTTAGCTTTTAAAACAGTTTATACTTCCTAGAAACTCTGAAGTTAGGTATGTTGTCTTCTGCATTTACATAGTACTGCTGTTGAGTTTGAAGGAGTGCTGGGTTACAGTTAAATATGAAGAACTGAACCCTAAAGAACACATCCTAATTTGGATTGATGGTTATGTATTTTTTGTATTTATATTCTAAAAGTGTATGAGGAATGTTACTGTATATCTTTTGTGATGATGGGAAGAAGTGAGTATTTACAAGTATGTAAGAGGATGTCCACTTGACCATAAAAACGGCTTAAAGGGGAAGCAGAGAAGAGATGCGAGTGTAATTTCCTTATCCTTGCTGTATTATAAAAACTTCCTTCTATGCTCAAGCCAGTTGTCCTGTCCCTAAGGTTTCTGGGCCTTAGGCTAGAGGAGCTTTCAGGTAGTTCCTAGAAAACATTGTAGGGAAAATCTCATTGACCCTCTTAGATTAAAATCTTTAAAACACTTAGACTTTATAAAAGCAGGGCGTGGTGTTGTGCCTTTGTAATCCCAGCACTCGGGAAGCAGAGGCAGGAGAATCTTTGTAAATTTGAAGTTAGCTAACCAAGGCTACTTAGTTAGATCCTGTCTTCAAAGGCAAAAGTAAATAAGTGTTTATAAGAGAAAGTAAAAGTGCCATCCCATAAAACTCCTCCATCTTAGGGATCTGTTATTTTATTATAGAATTTAAAACATCTTCCTTGTACTGGTAAGGGACCATTATGATTCTCTCTGCTCCCTGTCAAGCTTCCTCTTAAGCTCTGCAGGACATCCTGTGATTTCCCCTGTATTCAGAAGGGCCCTACATTAAGCCT